AAAATAATGTGTTTTTTGAACCTTAAACTGCATAAACACATTTCATTACACCAAATACACAAAATAATGTTCTTTTTAGCAACATTATATGACCCCTTTAATTTGAACTGGTCACTTTCAAATTAACTTTGCGGAATCTGATCCCCCTTGGAATTTGAAAGCAATTTAAAGGTATTACAAGATATGAGCAAAGCAACAAATTGTTATTTTTTGATTAACAGTTTGCTAAGCTAAAATTCGCTAATGCATTCTCTATGGTTAGCGTGCTAATCTAATAGCCTAAGATAACATATACAACAACATATACAGTACATATACATAACATAACATATACAATATGCAGCTCTTAGTTAATATTGTAAAACACTATGGGTGTCTCAATCAGTTCCCTAACTCGTAAATTGGTATATAGGGATGGCTGATGCGAAACTGACATTTCGACGCAGTGTTGAGATCCCGAAACGTAGATGTTTCGAAACACTGCTCTGAAGTGTGATTCAAAACACCCATGTCACGTGACAACGCACTGCTCTGTGTGTGTGTGTGTGTGTGTGTGTGTGTGTGTGTGTGTGCACTTGGAAGGGTTAAATGCAGAGCACAAATTCAGAGTATGGCACACCATACTTGGCTACACATCATGCCACTTTTTTTTTCACTCTTTTATGGACGTCGCCATCTTTGATATTACTTCGGTCACTGTTGTTATGGTTACTGGTAAGAAATACAGGCTTGACACCCATTGCACGTTCAAACAGACAGTATTTGAGACGCTACTGTAAGTTGCTATGTGAAAGGGACATTTCGAGACTCACTACTCACTACAGGTATGTGTTCTCTACCTGTTTATGCTGAAAAAAAAAAAGGATGTCTTTTCAAATCTTCTATTGCGTGTCATATTTGAGTTGGCTGGTGTGGTTTGTTTCGTTCTTCAGAAATGTGACATGCAGTTTCCGGTAAGGGAGCATAGTGAGCATCGATGCTCCCTACTTTTTGCGGTGAATTGTGGGATTTTTCAGGGAGCGAACATTCCAGTGCACTGGAAGGATTTCGCGATGAGACAGCCCTTAAAATTGCTGACTCCCTGACTACTGAACTAGGGAGCTGATTGAAACGCATCCTATATTTCATTCTGTGGTAAAATGAATAAAGTATTATTATTAATTAAATACTGATAATGATGATTTTATAGAACAGACCTCTGATAGTCACATTTTTTTTGGCTGCATAATTGAAGATGCCTCATTTCAGAAAACTAACCATTGCATTCCAAAGTAAGAAAGACATTACAATAATTTACACCTAAAAAATAAATAACTCAATTTTATAATGGGTACTTTTCTGAAATGAGGCATCTTTAAAGAAATGAGGGTGACAAATGCGACCTCTGGAGGGTGCAGCCTTCAAAATCACACACAGTTAAAAATATGGGCTGTGAATGGACATCAGTGGAATGTGATGATGACGAAAATGACGTCATGCAGACAGTCCGTAAACTAGAGAGTAATGCGGACAAGGGAAGTATTCTTTCGACTTTATAGTTACTACAATATAACTGTACAAATGGCTCTAGTGCAGTATGTCCTTGGAGTATAGAACAGCTCACAAAAATCATACATCTTTAAAGAAATTCATTTCCATTGTGACAGTACTGCAGCTGTAGATGATTGGCCAAAAAAGATTAGTTAACATGTGGGTCAATGTGTCATGTTGTTCATTGTCTTCTGTGCCGTCAACAGGTGCAAAAACCAAAGCCAAGGCACAAACCACTGAGTCATGCTCATCTGCTACTTTTAACTTTTTATTTTGTTCTCTTTGATGCCAGGTGTAAGCGGTGAATTGTTAGAAGGTTGCGGATAGAGATACCTGGAGTCTGAGCCCCAGTGCATGGCGTAGATTTTAGCCAAATGCCCACGCAGTGTGCGCCTCGTCCTCATCTGTATCCTCCCCACCGGATCCAGGCCTGCTGTTATCTACCACACACGCACAAACGCCACATAAATGAAAACCCACAAACCTCTGGAGATCACATCATCCGGCTCCTACATGTAATTACATCTCACCTGAGTGAGTGTGGAGTCTCTACATGCTTTCCTGGCATCCTGAGGGACAGAAGACAATGTTAGTGAATCATTCTACTGTCACCATTTGTACGTGGGGGTATGGCCAGTTTTTAAAATGATCAGGATCTCAGTGCACACTTAATTTTGAGTGGAGTCTCAGGAAAGCCACTACAGCATCACTAGAAATTGCTTATGGCATCCATACTGCTCTAAAAGCCAAACACAGTAACTACACCAACACGAAGTCTTGAAATTGATTCGATTTTCTCAAAGATATTTTATTGTATTGAAATACCTAGTGCTCGGAGTTAGTTTATTCTGTTGATACCCTTGAAAATGTTCAAGTCAAAGCTTGTTTTAGAATTTTTAGGAAAAACTGCTCTTCAACGTCTTATTTAGTTTCTATTTTAGAATTTATAATTTAAGTTTTGCTATGAAAATAGCAATGGAAGCTGGCATGGCATTTAAAAAAAAGCAAACACACTGTTTTCTCTGAATGTGCACTCAGAAAATGATAATCGGTGCAGATTTTAAGCCCTAAATTAGACTTCATATAAGTGTATTTAGCAGTGACATGATAAACACTCATTTTGTTCATTACTATATATAAGGGATAATGTAAAGCCAACTGTCATTATGGCAACATAAACCCTGACATGGTGATCAGGACCCCAATGCAGTTTATTTTTTAACAGTATCAGTAGGACTCACTCTGATCTGATTGCGCAGTTGCTCAGCCTCCTGACGAAGCTGCTCGAGCTCACTCATCTTGAAATGACCTTTAACCTTTACCCTCTGAACTCTCTCACCCCTGCAGACACCTGTAGAATAAAACAAGACATGTGAATAACATCAGAGGCCACAGTGTTCTAGTTGAACCCAGTTACGAATCACAGACAGTTTGTAGGATTGACAAGCAGAATAATACAAATGTTACATTGCAATTTGAAAGTAATTTTTTTTTAATTAATCTTGATTTTAATAAGTCTATTGGTAAGATTTTTTTATTGTAATATGTATAAAAGATGTGTTTAGTACTGGTAATTTCATAGTGCAGATGTCCTGCGGTTTTATATTAACATTAGGGCATAATCTTTAATCTGGTATAATCTGGCTTTGGTAAGATTTTTTTATTGTAATATGTATAAAAGATGTGTTTAGTACTGGTAATTTCATAGTGCAGATGTCCTGCGGGTTTATATTAACATTAGGGCATAATCTTTAATCTGGTATAATCTGGCTAACAACCTATAATTTAATAGGATTAATATTCTGGGAGCCATTCCAAACAGAAACAAGACAGTAAATAAAAGTGTGTGTATCAGATAGAGAGATTTGAAATTTCAATCATTAATTTGTTCTAAATTACATTTTATGTTGTTTGCTTTGGCAATACAAAATGTACTTTAGGCCATGCCAATATAGTTATTTGAATTTAATTTAAATTAGAGAAAGAATAGGTTGTCTGACCTGAAACCATACATGAGGTTACACATTTAAATTGGCATGCAAAAACACACAGGATTTTTGCATGTGTTTTTTTACACAGTCAAATGTGTCACAAATCATCAACCAATCCCATAGTCTTTTGAACCTTATGAACAGTTATACTTTGCATGTATCCAGTTATAACCCACAGATCTCAGTATGGCTATTGTATCAATGCTGATGGGAGCTGTGAGACATGGATGCAAAAATTATTGTTATTACCCCCTTACCACACATACTTATTAGAGAGCCTTAATTCCCTCAACACACACACGCAAACATAACACCACAGCAGGAAGAAAGAAATTAAGCAATGTATAAGAATCAATCTGTGAGGAAACTCCACACAAACAGCATAAAAGCTACACACACCCACTTGAAAACTTACATCACAACCCATCATAGAGAAAGAAGCAGCAATGATGTATAATTCCATTTTACCCACAAAACCTTTCGCTCAGATAAATGGCTTAGATCGGAGGAATCTTGGCTAATCTAGATGACTCAAACGCCTTCTGAACCTTTTAAGGTCTTTAAGCATGTTGGGAAAGCAGCAGCTGGTTAAGGAGAGAAGGGTTAGTTATCCTCTGGTCCATACTAGTGCACCATAATGCCTTCTGGACTTATGTATAGTGTTTGAAATCAGCTATATATATGTTACAAATAGCCTAAGGATCAAGCATTATCTATTTATTAACCTACTGTTTTTTTTTATCTTCTTTGCAGCGGGGTTATATTATTGTCTGCACTATGTAAAATAATACAACTTCATACATTAAATATGACTGGAGGGGGCTGTCAGCTGATAAGCACCAAATTGAGAGCAATAACAAGGCCACCACCTCGGAGTAGGCAAATGTATTCTCCATCGCCATAAAACAGGTAAAATGTTTTCTACAACTATTTTACAGACAGAAGCTCCAAAACAGACAGATGAGATGTGGAAACAGCATGTTGCATCCGGCTTCCATCATCACGTTGCCGCAGAATGACGGCTGTACCAGTGGCGAGGCCAGAAATTTAAAATTGAGTGGACTTTGTTAACATAGTGTGGACCTCAGTGCCTTTTTCAAAAATCATTTTACAATAGCCTACATGAGATTCAAATAGGGATGCAAATTTCGTATGATTTTTGTGACCGGAACGACTTTAAACGACTGAGGATCATACACTACCAGACTTTAATATATGATGGCCAGTTTTTCCTCTGTGACTATTTAAAAAGTCGGTGAGTGTATGATGCCTAGTGTTTAAAAATCTGGTCAGAAAACTGGGCATCATACACTACACGACTGAGGATCACACACTACCAGTCAGAGCCGATCCTCCCTATACACAAAATACGCAAGCTGCGTAGGGCCCCCGAAACACCAGGGGGCCCCCCTTGCTCTCAAAGATTATTTAATTTTAGTTTCATTTTTGAATTTGGCCAGCGGTTATGAAAACATGAATGATCATTTCTTTTAATGTGGTGCGCTGTCGGCCTTTCTATGTAAAAATCAGTCAAATCATGTAATGTGAATGTCGTACAGTCTTGCTCGAGACTAAAAAAACGAGTTGAAAGCGTACTGAGCCGCGGAAAAGACACTGTTTCTCAAGCGCGATTCGAGACAGAGTGAAACACGGACAAATGCGTTTCATTCATTCGTTCATAACCACTCATAGTGCCAACATCAATATGTGGTTCAAAATCGGCTGAAAATATCAAACATGTTTGATATCCTCCGACTGGATGGAATCAAAGTCTGAAGCTAAAAAATCGGGAGTCTAACCATCGTAAACTACACGATTTTCAATTAAATCTGTCGACTCAAATCTGCAGACTGGCTCTGATTTCAGCAACTATTGCCTGAACTTCTCCAGATTGTAAATCGGGCTAAAGGTTGTGTAGTGTATTCCAGCCTTTAGAGTGACATTACATGCTGCTTTGAACATCTAACAGTTAAAAAGTTGCACAGTTCAATGGAAGAAACGCGGACATGACAACCCTGCATCCAACACGTACGAGCTGCAGAAGTCAGATTTCACTGATCACGGGTTGAGAGGAGATATGACTAACAAGATCATACTGGAGGATTTGCTGCTCCAACAGATCCTGAGCTCATTGAAAAACATCCCATAAATATCTCATAAGATGTGCTTCCTTTACACAGAGCACGTGTGATCGTGAAAGTGAACAGTGAGCGCTCATTCAAAAGAGATTATATACTCTGCATATTGATTATATACTCTGCACATAGAATGTTTGCGGGAGCGGGCGGAACTGGACACAAAAATCTTGGGAGCGGAACATACACATTGCAGGAGCGGGCGGTAATGGTCAGAAATTTAGTGGGAGCCCGCTAAATGTGTGTTCATGCCATATCGGAATTCCCATAATTACGAGATTCCAACTTGTAAAAAGCATTCACGTCCTCGTAGAACTCGTAATTACAACTTGTGAACTGGGAGTTTTCTGAGAGCTACGACTTGTACCACGTGGCCGCTGTACCAACTGACCACCGCAGGCTCTGTTTAGGCATTGATAGTGTTGCCATAGAAAAGCATAATTCCAAGTCCGAGGACGTGAACAGCTCCGAGTAGAACGTCATGTATTGTCATCTCGAAATTACGGTAAATTACGATATGGCGTGAATGCAGCATAAGAAAACAGCGCAGGCTCTGTTTAGGCGTTGATAGTGTTGCCATAGAAAAGCATAATTCCGAGTCCGAGGACGTGAACAGCTCCGAGTAGAACGTCATGTATTGTCATCTCGAAATTACAGTAATTACGATATGGCGTGAATGCAGCATAAGAAAACAGTCCCTCGCAGGGCTCTAATACAAAAACGCAAACAATGATTGGCGACTGTAGAAAGAAAAAGCCGAATCCCGGACATTTTGGGCGATTTAGAAATCGATTTAAAAATGCCGGACACATTTTTTTAGGTCCAAAAAGAGGGCATGTCCGGTAAAAAGAGGAGTATGTAATGTATGCAGGATTTTTCTTCTTTCCTCATTTGATTGGTCGGGCCAGCAGTCAATCTGGGTGGGCCAGTGCCACCCTGGCCCTTATGTAGCCTCGCCACTGGGCTGTACAGAACCATTTTGGTTAAATCAGCGTTCCATTACTGATACAAAAGCGCCCAATACTAATAATATGTTCGTTGCATTTGTGTCTATGGAGTTCTGTTAGCATGAACTATAAAGAAATGTCAGACTTTGCCCCACCCCTACAGCTAAATGCAGAGTGACATATGCACTCTCTGCATACTGCGAGGAAAGGGAGAAAAGTAAGAGGCACATCTATCGTTTACTGACACCAACCGCTGTTTTCACTGAAACCACAACCTATTTAAACTACGCATCCTTTTAAACCAGGGAGACAGCTGCAAAACGTGCGTTTGCTTGGTCACATGGGTTACGTTTGTATTTGAGTTAGATCATCCTACGCCCAGAATAACAGACATGTGAACGGTTAACCTCGGTTAGTCCTCTTTTATCTTTCTACTGTGGCGGCATACACTTAAAGATGTGACAGAATTCACAATCACATACAGTGCTTATGTTTCCCCTTTAAGGATGTTTAGTTGCCTGTGGTGGGGGAAGTTTCCCCTTTAAGGGTTTTACGTTTTGCTAGTTCATTAAAGCAATAGCCAGTTCACGGCTTTTCATCCAATTGTTCATTTAATTGCACAAACACCTACACTACTGACATTTGCATATGGCAAGTATTAACAAGTATTCCTTAATTAAACCTAACTAGTATCTATATTTGATGCTTATTTTTTATTAGTATGTAATCAAGTACTGACTAGTATCTTATATTGGGATCTGGGGTTCAAATATCAACTATTCGTATGTATGTATTCCAGTATTTGCCATTCAAATTTTGCTAGTAACTTCATTAATAACAAGTAGCTTACTTATTCTTTAGTTACTTCTCCAGTTTCTATTCCAGTTTTCCTGGTGTTAACTAAAGGCTGGAATACACTACATGACTTTTTAAATCTGAAGAGATATTAAAACACTAGGCATCATACACTTACCAACTTTGTAAACAGTCACAGAAGAAACACTGTCCATCATACACTACACGACTGAGGATCACACACTACCAGACTTTAAAGTCGTTCCGATCACAACAAACTCACACAAAAATGTACGTCTTGTTGTTAAGAGACGTATGACAAATGAAAACAATGTGTTCTAAATCGGCTCAAAATATCAAACAATATTAAAGTCTGTGACCATCATAAATCCGTGTATCATTCATTCATTCTTTTTTTTTTATTTTTTATATTGAAAGTAGAAAATTGAGAAAATGGCTCCTTTTTCGTTTTTTAATTTTTTTC